CATATTTGTTGCAGGACACTGAAAATATTTTGTTATAGGTCTCTCTCCTCCACTAGATTACAAAGACATTAGGAATCAGGAATTGGGCCTTACTTATCTTTGTATCCCCAGTTCCTAGTCACAGTAGGTGCCCAAGAGATGTTTGTTAAACAGAATCAAACTGCTGCGTCTCCTCTGTGCACCAAATATCATTCCCTGACTCTTCTGGTTGGAACACAGAGAACACAAAGTTTCATACGATAATACATTATTACAGACAGTCCCACTTCTATCTTCAACTGGCAGATATGAGCAGCTTCTGTTTTCTTCTATCAATTTGTTGATTAAATTTCACATAAGTCTTCTATAGACTATGTATTTACCAAAGAAATATAAGTGAGGAAAACATCACCTGTGGCAAATGTCTTCCCTACAACCTGCAAAGATAAAGCCAGTGGCTTCACAACATTCTTATTCCGGGTCAGGTCCTGAGCTCCACTTAAATTGATTGCAGAATTAGCTGGACTGATAATCGGTGAATCTTTAAAATGAAAGAGGTTGTTTAAATTAGCAACTATGCATATGTATGCAGGAGGAAAGTTAATTCAACAAGAGTTGTGAAAAAGCAGATTACAGAACTTCAGTTCTTTCCTTAAACTATTCTGACATTTAGGAGAGTCAATTTCTCTGTATTCAGGTTTTATTATTTTTTATTTATTTAACAAATACTAGAAGTTACTAGGTGCTAGGTGCTATTTTAAGCACCTTAAATAGGAATCAAGTGAATTAATATAGTTAAAGTGTTTAAGTTAGCACAGACCTATATTTTAAAAATAATGAAAGGGTACAAAATTGATGTACAGAAATAAATCATCATATATATAAACAACAACCCATAGTTAGATAAAATGCCTATGAATGCTTAGGAAGAAATGCACATACCTGTATGAAGAAAAGTTTACAATATTTCTGAACATGTCTGGGATTTGTTTTAAAATACTAAGGGAGGGAGTAAGACTAAACAATATTGGCCATGTGTTGATAATTACTGAAGATAGATAACAGGCCCTTGGTTGTGATTTACTATATTATTCTATTTTTATGTTTTTGAAATTTTTATATTAAAGATTTTTAAAAATAAAAAAAAATTCTGAAGATCATTAAAATGGACCTGAACAAATATGAAGACATACCATGTTTCTGAGTAGGAATATTCAATGTCAAAAGATGCCATAAGCCTAAATTAATTTATAAATTTAATGTGATCCTAGGAAAATACTAACAGGTTTAGATATTACTAGAATTACTATTAGAATCATTAAAATGTTTTAACTAGGGAAAAAGATGTAATGTTGATATGAAGAAATAGACAAGAATAGCTGGAAAAGAAACAGAAATGAGGGTAGACTAGCATAATGATATAATAAAATTTGTTATAAAACATTTCAGTGAATAAAACACTGTAGTCTTGGTGCATCAGACAAGTAGAATAATGGAACAAAAATGACAGCAAGAAAGATGCAATACACTAAATACTAAATGAGAATTTAGTACAAGATAAAGGTAGCACCTCAAATCAGCAATGAAGATGAACCATATAATAAATTGTATTGAGGCAATTGGGTATACAGGAAAAAAA